GGGAAAGACTTCTAGATTGCCATGACCAGATCAAGTATACCGTATAGCTGTGAAATATAAAACAAGTAAATCATCTATCATCATTCTTCCCCACTGATGTAAAGAAGATATTTTACGTTATATATTATACCACCGGGACAAGAAGCAAGTAGACATTAGTGACAGAAGGTATTAGCCTCATTACCATTTTTATTAACTAAGACCTAACGAAACTAGCAAGTCACTGGAACTTAATATCTATAAAGCATGATATAATTTATATTTAACTACTGACAGATTTAAAAAATGTGTTTTTCCCTCTTGTATAATATAATAATTTAGGCAGTAGGCAAGCTTATGAAACAAAGCAGTCCCGAGCATAAGCTTAGAGGTGGATTACAAGGGTCTGCATCTATGCTCTTAGAAACAAAGCTCTCCTGTTTTCTTGTTTGAGGTAATAACAGTACCTACCTCATAGGGCTGTTCTGAAAAATCACTAGGTTAATATATCTAAATTGCTTAGAATACTGCCTCATACATAGTAAGCACTCAATAAAACCCAGTAACTATTAGTATAGTAATTTAAAAGTATATGCGCTGTACGGTTTTCTTATAGCATGTCTGTATGAAACTTCATGATTTTAAAAAGACCGATTTCTATTTGAAAAACAAATAAACAAAAATCCTACAATAAAATGACAGTTTACCTGAGCAGTTTCTATTTTCAACTTGTCAATATTGAGAGTGTTTCTCTGTAATCCACTGGCAGCCAATGACAAAAGCTGCTTCAGAGCTTTAATATCTTCCTGCACTTTAAGCATTGCTTTTGAAGACATTCTACTAATTTCTTCTTGGACTTGTTTTTGTTCCTTCACAAATTTCCTAAAAAAATAAATAAAACTCAGTTTTAAAAAAAATACACCTTTGGTTTTATACAGAAAAAAAAGTAGGCTGGTGAGAGTTTTAAGTCCAAGTGTTTTAAGAAGCAACTATTAAAAATTCACCTACAGTTCACAGAATGGCAGTTACAGAATTTTAATTCCTTTATTTACTTAATTCCATTGTTCTGCGTTCTCTGATTTCTAAAAGCACCACAATGCTCCCCAGGTTAAAACGCTTAGGAGGAGGAGAGGGTCCCCCTGAAACACCTCCCAGCACTCCAGTCTGATTCGTCTACTGATGACACCTCACACACTTACTGCAGGTTGTCCACGTCCTGGCAGATGACAGAAGGTAGAGTCTCATCCTTCAGTGCTTTACTATCCCTAAGAAAGATGCCACAGGCGCATTAATACCAAAGATCATAAAAAGCTGATGGCTATCTGTATATCTTCTTTGGAGAAATGTCTCTTTAGGTCTTCCATACCCATAGCTGATTCACTGTGTTGTACAGCAGAAATTAACACAACATTGTAAAGCAATTATACTCTAATAAAGATGTTAGAAAAAAAAGCTGACAGCTGAGTTCTACAACAGTATGTGTTAGGATACAAGAAAACAGAGCAAATATTCCCCATTTACAGTCTTCTTGGATGATTTTGAAGTTCTTTATAAAGAACAAAAAACTTCGTGATCTACAAAATAACTAACAATTCATCTGACATGGAGGTTTCTTTTCTAAGGAGTTTGGCATCTATTATAAGTACACGTAGACGCATTTGACTAAATGTTTGAGAACAAAATAAGAAAATACTACAGACGGGATGAAATATTAATCTAAGTTCCTCCAGCTCAAAAATTCCATGACTGACTTTTCATTCAGTTCAAAAATATTACAGCATTCACTAAAGGAAGTCTGAAAAACTTCTCACAATGAGTTGCTCACAATATTTTACAACTTCAATCTGTTCTTCAACAAAATAAGACCTAGGAGTAGCTTAAAGGATTGATGACTATTTAAGGAAGACAGGAATAAATGAAACTGGGCTGGAACGGCGGGAGCCGCAGATCCGTACAACTTTGGGGACATGACCCTGGGCAAACGGCAGGCTCTCGCTGCTTCCGCCTTTACGTAACAAATACACACAAGATGTTTGCGAGGCAGGAGCTTCGTCATTTACTTACAAATGTTTTATTTAATGTAACAGAAATTATGTGAGAATACAATTGGCAAGAAAATAAAGATCTTCAAGTGTATATATGACGTACATGGAGGCTATTCTCCCTCTTCAACATCAGTGAATGGTGCTGGGACAGTTATTTATATATAAAATAAACAGTATATATACATTTTTAATTGGCATATATAAATAAAAAGTGCTCCAAGAGTAAAGTTCCATGAGTTGTTCAACATTTACTAAGTTAAAAAGACACATACATATATTTGTGTTTATTTATATTATTTGGGGAAAAGCCAACTATTTCCTAGAAATAAATGGTTATAAATTTTCTTAAAGATCTGACCTTCCATAATCTCTCCAGAGCCTATGCTTATTATTTTATTTTTGACAAAAACTTTAAAAGAATTTTTCTTCTAAATACCTGTAAGGTTCCATTTACTTCCAACCATACATTGGCCTATAGTTTAATAAGTAAAACTCTTTAATTAAAATATTTTAAAAGTCAAATTGTAAACTTACTCTGGTCTTGTTCCTGTTTTATCACCTAGAAAATTCAAGAAGCTTCGTGTAAAAATGGGTTATTTATCAGTGTATTCCAAATACAAATTTTAAGTTAACACAAACTAAGGTATAAATAAAAATTGTTAAGGATTTCTTAGAATGCCTCTTAAACAGCAGGTGATGTCATGACTTGTCACAAACTCTAAACACAGCATGTTACAGACATGTTTATGTACACATAAACACAGTTATGTAGCTGATTTGCATCTATTTCTTTCAAGGGCAAGAATCTTCCTTTTTCAACTATCTTCCCTGAAAAATCTTCTTGCTTAGGAGTTTAACTCCTGAGAGCTTTATCTGACACTTTTTAAGGCCCTCTTAACAGGCTGCCCCACCTGAGAAAAAAAAATAAGTTGCTAAAACATCTAAGGCTATTTTTTGAATTATGGAGTTACTACAAAGAAAATTAAGTAAAAACAAGAGACAGGACCTTATGTTTAAAATTTTTCATTCAAAGAGAAATAAATCCAAATTTTCTAAGATTAAAAGGATTTTACCAACTTTTAGGATAGTAATTCACTCTTTAAAACAAGTATCTCCTACGATAAAACCCATGTCCAATTTTTGAAATCCCTATACAGATATAAGACACTGAATATTTTACAACTTCATGCATCATGCCATTCTAAGCTCTTCCAAGCGGTCAGTGCAGTGTGTATGTACGCGCTCCAGCCGAACATGCTTTCATCAGAAACAGAAGAGGTGTTGTGAAACGAACAACAAGCAGATCACACACACAGAACCAACAACCAAAAAAACTGCAAAATGAATTTGGGTTGGAAAAAAATTTTTAAAGAATATTAGGCATGCCAAGAGCACAGCAAGAAGGGCATACTGGTTGGTGAGTAAATAAACTGGTAAATTCTGGAAAGCAATTTCACAATATATGTCAAGAGACTCCAAAATTTCCCTCCCTATAAGCCAGTGATTCAATTTCTAGGTATCTGCCCTAAGGAAATAACCAATATATGAACAAAACTTATAATAAAAGCACACAGCATCTTCTGTGTGCCTGGCTCTCCTAAGGTTTTACAAACAGCAATCCTCAAACCAACCCCATGAAGCAGGGACTGTTATTTCCCCTACTTTACAAAGCATCGAGATAGCCTGAATAAGGTCACAGAGCCTGTGAACAGCTAAGCCAGGATCTGCAGCCAGCAAACCAGCTACAGAGCCGACACTTAACTACCATACTATGTGGCCTCTCTCTACAAGGATACCCAATACAGTGATGCTTCCCAGAGCGAAGATCTGGAAACAAACACTAACCGCAGGATGGCGGCTGACTGCACGATGACACATCCATTCATAAAACTGACATTAAGCAGCATTAAAATATTTGTAAAGAATTACGACAACTGACTAAAGCTTGTGATATACTACACGAGAAAGAACAGGTTACAAAACATGTACACGGTCCCGATTTTTAAAATGCATATTAAAACACGCATTAAGATAGTTACATAAGACATATGCACATACAAATCTGCACTGTCTACAAAAATAAAATCTTAAATGCACAACACACACAAAATTTGTGAAATATAATGCAAACTTAAAAATAATACCTTTACTATTGAATATTTAACTAACAATCTTCCAGACATAGGAATTTAAGTTCCGTAAACAGGACTGTTAGAACGTGAAATTAAGAGTAACGTTACTTACTCTTTTTATCCGATGAGCTGCTAAAATCTATACCTCCAAGGCCTTCGTTGCCAGCAGCTGAAGAAGCTGCTGCAGTTCCCAGAGACAGACCTAAAGCATTTTGTCCAAGTCCTACAAACAAGCCAGATGCCACTCATGAAGTTCCTCAGTCTTTATAATGATTTCCCCACTGACCAAAGCACTCAAATACATTTAAGTTGGATCCCAGATTATTTTCATTCTGGATTTAGACAAACAGTAAGATACAAGTCTAGAGCATGCTTTGGACAAAGACTGATAATCTTGCTTGGATTCAATGGTATATGTAGTTTGAATGATGTGATTTTATTTATTAAAACGGCCAGAATATATCTGTTCATGGATATCTGTGGATACTCGATTTTATTTGTTGTTTTTAAACCCTCTCTATCAAAGCAGTTTCAGTTTGCATATTTTCAGGTGAATACATCTTGTCTTCCAAGCATGCTTTGGAACTCTATACTTTTAAAGTAACCTAGTACTGGATGTGTTAATTGACTTGATGTGGGGGAAACAATGTGTACAGTCAAATCTCCATGTTGTACACTTTAAATATCTCATAATTTTATGTGTCAATTATACCTCAACAAAGCTGGGGGAAAATAAATAAAATAACCTAGCATGAATTCATAAGATTTTCGTATAATATAAAGCAAACAGCTCTACTACTACTACTGAAATTTAAAGAACTGATAGTTAAAGACGAAGTTCAAACATCAAAATTTCACATTCTCGAGTTTTTTTCCATTAAACTTAAAAAAAAAAAAAAGTAGACTTCCCTTATTTAAATCCTACTTCACAGACAAAAGGAACTGGAGCTAGACTCTAGTAATCTTAAGTCATCAATGTGTACCTGTGAATCAAGAGCAAAATTTCAAAGATCCTGCACTGGTAAATCACATAAGTCCATGCATTCTCAAGCTGACGCAACTGTGTTCTTTTTAGACAAGATGCTATTTACTTTAAAAACAGGAAACAGCAGGATATACTGGATAAGAGCATGGGATAAATGAAAACTGGATTTAAATCCTGAGAATGTGTGAAAAAACACAGCTGAATGAATGTTATGAATTTTTAAAACATCAGTGGCACCTTTAGGTTAATATAACCATAAAGTAAGCATTGAATATTGTGTCAAAGAGCCTAAGAAAAATCAGGACAGACCTAAAAACTTAATAACAAGACACAAAAACTACCCTCTAAGTCATTTCTATTATTTTTGTGTTTTGCTCCCATGGGAATCTTTGGGAAAGATGTTTAAATATTTATCCTGCAAAGAAATGTACGTTATAGTCACCTAATGATTTGATTATTAGAAGACACCTACAAAATTGACTATAATAAAATCATTTAATACTTGTTTTTAATGTCCTGACTTCAAAGCACTCTAACACCCTTTCCTAACATCTATAACAGAAAGCCATTCCCAGAACCCGGCTTATGAGGTCAAGTTGTGCCACAATGAATTTAGAGGCTAAACGATTCAAGACTATTCAACTGCCATTTATTAAAAAGACAAATTTCTCTAGAACAGTTTACTGACTCCGGAAACAGGCTCTTTCTTGCCTCCTTACCGAGTCAGTCAATGCTGAGAAAATGCATTTCTAAAATATGGCAATCATGTATGAACAACTTTATTTTATAATTCAGTTTTTACACTAAAAGGAAAACATAAAGGTTCAAGAGACCACGTGACCTGCTCAAAAGACCAAAACAAAGACAGAGTAAATTTAAACATGAATATTTACTCTTCTGGAGAGTAAATATCACAGTTACCTGATGCTGCCGTGCTTGTGCTTTGGAAAAGCGGCCCTCCCAAACCCGTCAAGGCTCCCCCTAAAGAGAGGCCTGCTGGTGCAGTGGTGGCTGCAGCTGCCGTCCCACTCAGGCTGCTCAGAGTGAATCCTGTGGACGCTATAAACAGTGAGCCCGTAAGCCCCCAAGAGCGCGAGCATCACAGAAAACACAAGACACCTTAAAAACTGACGTCACGATAAACCTGGCTCTTGAGAAAAACCACTCACTAAAGCTAACATTACACATACTTAAGAACAGAAAGAAATAGTCCCTTTAAAGCAAAAACCAGTGACAGGAATAAGGGCTTTGGTTAATACCAGCATGGTATCAGGTAAGTGACTCCAGACAGTTACAGAGTTTTCAACCCAGGCTACCAACCCCACACTCAAAACCGGATGAATCCTAAGCCAAGCAAGGTTTATGCAAACTCTTTACCCTTCCCTGTCACCAAAGTGCGCCTTGAAAACAACGTAGACATCAATAGTTTCACATGTGCCCTCTCACCCGCTCCCCTGCTTTGCTCTGTAAAGAGACCAACTTCCAAGAGGGCCTCTGCTGCTTTAATGCTCAAGGCTGATCTTCACAAACCAGTAATTCAGTAGGTCAACACTGCTGAATGACTGAAATAAAAATTCTCCCAAACTGAAGTTATCTTTACCAAAGGTGGACACTTACATTCACTGACCGAGTGAAATAAGAACTCAACCAGAAAATGCCACCCTTCCCCGACACGCCTCACCTGCAGGAGTCGACGTCAGAGCGGACGAGAGCGTGAGACCGCCAGCCGTGGCAGACGTGATGGGCAGCGCAAACGGTGTGGCGGACGCCGCGGGTTTACTGAAGCCTAAGCTGAAGCCTGCCATGGATGCAGAGGTGGTGGCCGGCGGGCCTGTAAAAAAACATCCCAGCTTGCCGTAGCTGCATGTGTATTACACAGGTATCAATCGGGAGCCTAGAAGTCTGCTCCTCGTAGATGGAACAAAGGTATATGTACTTATATACGTATGAGAGAGAAAGACCATCCACCAAATCAGGGTGCGTACTAACGAGGAAAATCCCATCTGTGTGGTAATTACTGCAATTCGATCTCAGCCCTGCCTCTAGATACACCGAACGCGGCGCTTCTGCCTCCTTTTTCCTTCACACGCGACAGAGAGCAGTCCTTCTTCTCCAGGACCATTTAAAACACCTTCTCTGCTGCTTGGAATCCTCCTCCTCTGCTTCTGTGTCTGTCAGTGCCCTCCAGTCCCTTCTGTCCATCTCCCTCCTCGGTTCACCTCTTTTTATTTTTTTAATTTATTTACTTATTTTTGGCTGCACTGGGTCTTTGTTGCTGCGCGCGGGCTTCCTCTAGTTGCGGCGAGCGGGGGCTACTCATCGTTCTGGTGCGTGGTCTTCTCATTGCGGTGGCTTCTCTTGCTGTGGAGCATGGGCTCTAGGCGCACTGGCTTCAGTAGTTGTGGCACGTGGGCTCAGTAGTTGTGGCTCACGGGCTTAGCTGCTCCGCGGCATGTGGGATCTTCCCAGACCGGGGCTCAAACCCGTGTCCCCTGCATCGGCAGGTGGATTCTTAAGCACTGCGCCACCAGAGAAGCCCTCACCTCTTTTTTTTTAATTGAAGTATAGCTGATTTACAGTGATTCAGCTGTACAGCAAAGTGATTCAGTGTTATACACACACACACACACACACACACACACACACACACACACACACACATTCTTTTTCACGCTCTTTTCCATTATAGGTTATTACAAGATGTTGAATCTAGCTCCCTGTGCTATACAGCAGGTCCTCGCTGTCTATCTGCTTTACACGTACTAGTTGTGTATCTCTGTCCACTTCTTAGATGCTCCTCCCTATGGCTCCATTCTTGCTCCCTCACTTCCTGAAACATCTCACCCGCTTTCAGAACCTCACTATAGGTTCATGGGTCTAAATCTACATCTACCTGAGTCTCCAAAGGCTATAGCTCTACCTGGATGTCCCTCTGCACCCCTACACACCTCCCTACAAAAAAATTTCCTAAACCCCCCAGGGTCAATTTGGTTGCTCAAGCCAGAAATCATAATCATCCTTGACATCCCCTCGCTCCCCTGTGTTCTATCAGTTCAAGTCCTGTAAATTCTACTTCAGACATATCCCTGGATTACAAACATCCTCAAAAGCCTTGGTTCAGGCCATCTCTCTCTCAAGAACTATTACAATGACCTCCACGATCAGTCTCCTCCAACCTCTAATGTACTCTTGGAATTATCTCAGTTACTTTAAAAAAGAACAATATGCTGGCGATGCCCCCGACTTAAGCTTCCCACTAAGTCTATACATTAGTCTTTAAAATAGATTCTAAAGGCTTGGTGCCCAAAACCCTTTCCTATGTGGCCCTAACCCGCTCCGCCAATCTCCTCTTCCTACCATGCCTACCCTCAGAACCCTGACCTCCAAGAGCAAAGTACCTTTCCCGTTTCCCTGGACCCTCTGCGGCCGGGCCCCTGCACTCCCCACTCCCGCCTGGAACGTGCTTCCTGCCCCGCCAACCAACAGCGCTCCTCCTCCTCGGCCTTCCTCGGGCCTTCCACGCGCCTCTTAGCGCGCATGTCAGATGACACAGAACCCATCGCTCGGCTTGCCTGCTCCCTTTGCCTCATGACAGGCTGAAGGTCTTGCTCAGGCACCCAGCGGCCCCTGACCTCATCAGGGTCCCCAACCACCTTCCGCTGATACTCAATGATCGAGGCACTGTGTAGACTCATGGCCACAGCCAGGAAGCAGTAGTTACGCTAAGTTACTAAACGGAGAAATTACGAATGACCTGCATTTTGGCTTCTTCTGAAGGCACTCAGAGAAAAGAAGTCAGAAACTATGCTTCTGGATCGTCCTTGCCACAAGTGGAAGTCCCTGCCGGAGTAAGGTGCTGTGAAACACGCATAGGCTCTAAAATCTCAGGACAGGATCCAACTCCTCACCCTTATAACCAGTCCTGTCCGAAACTTTGGTGGTAGACAGACGTGCTTTCTGTTGATAACAGGTAAGCAGCATCTAAGTGAAGAAAGTTCACCAATCTTTAATTTATTTCAATTTTAAGTTTACATTTAATTAAATTAAGTCATTTTAATTGCGGTTCCTCACTGTCCTCTCGTCCTTTCACATTATTTCCTGGCATCCAGGTCAAGGTGCCGTCACCCTGGTTACCCACGTTCCCTGAAGCATATCACGATAGAGAACCACGATATTTTTGAGCTGGAAGGGAATTCAAAAACTTTTTATTACAATACCCTCATTTGACAGATAACTAAAAGCTGCCAGATATGACCATCTAAGGCCTCACAATTATTTAGAGGTACAACCAGCGCTTAATTCCAAGACTTCTGGCCTAAAGTTTGGTTCTTTTTTCACTAAAAGGGCTTAAATGACTGAAAAATATAAATGTGAAATAAATTTTGACAGAAAAAGACAATTCTGTATTAAAATTTTTTTCTGAACTAAAAAAGGATTACGTAATCATCGTTTTCTAAAAATAGTCAAAGACTGAAAGGTTCTTTGAAAAGTCAGCATCTATGATCTATATTCAGTTCCTTATATGTTTCTTCTATAGCCCAGCTCTGTGAGAGATCAGGCAAGAGTAGAAAAACCACAGATCTGGGACCTTCCCTCAAAAATTCCTGCTCGGAGCTAATCCTGTAGTTACAGCTGTTGCTCTTTCTGGGGACAAAAAGAGAAATAAACGTTAATCACCAGGGGCAGATGGCATTCTTTTGGCCTGTAACAGGGCAAGACTTGGAATCTCCCTCAGGGAGTGATAACACTGCTGGTAAGACTAACGGGTATCACAGCGTCTTCTACCACAACCACCGCCTACTACAGCGTTCCTTCTATAGCACTGGTTCTCGTATCACAGGCTGCGTATAATTTGATCAGTCAGGGATTAAGAGTTGCAAAATGCAAACAACTATTGCCTATAACAAAATCCGGCAAGGAGGAAAAAAAGCTAGTCCAAACAAAACACCGGCACTGTCTCAAGAGGCACATTGGATGGTCTCACGCTTACGCCTGCAGTTCTTCCACGGTCTCTGTGTAGCTGTGAAAGTGCTGCAGTCAAGGCTGGCAGCTCAATGCAAAAGGTGGTTACATAGACCAAGAGACTCTGAGGGCAGAGAATAAAGGTAAATAAGGAAGTAAACTTTTAAAATGGTGGATCCAGTGAAGCATATTTTTGGCTTATAATAACAAAATATCTGTATTTTTTAAAAAACTTTTTATTATTGAAATGTCCACCAGAAACCTTTACCTCCTGCCCTTTTCCCAGTGCAACAATTGTTTTAATAATAAAAAAATCTGAAACATCTCTTAGGTATGTAAATTATAATGTTATAGCAAAATAGGAAGCTGACTGTCCCATATGCTAAATTAATTAATGTCCAAATTGTAAACTTGACTCAATCTTCACCAAGATAAAACACTGCATTACATAATCTAACATAAACTTGAATTACTTTAATTCATTACTTTTAAATAGATTTATTTCCTTTAATTCTTAAATGTATGTGTGTGTTGTCCTTCCTTACACTGAAGTAAGTCACAGCTAATGGCTGGCCCTATCTCTGACCCTTGATCCCACATCCCTGTCTGCCTTTTCATCTCAGTATTTACCATTTTTTAGGTCTACCATCAGTGACGATCCTTGTAAAGGGAGGAGACACAGGACAGAACCTGCAAAGAATGAATACCCCAAACCCACTCCCTGAGAATCTGACAACCCTCCTTACCTGTGTTCGTTCCTCCTAGAGTGAACCCAGTGGCAGGTTTAGATCCAAAGAGCCCGGCTCCGAAACCAGCAGAAGGAGCAGGTGCTGTCACTGGAGCTGCCGTGCTCCCGAGGCTCCCAAGACTGAGCCCCACAGAAGGGCTGCTTGTTCATAGAAAACACAAAATAAAGTCTACTAGAGCCAATACTTATTTAAGGGAAACGCAAGTTAGCTCTTCGAGGTTAATTATTTCTCCATTTAAGCATCTCAGACATCTCCACAGGATACAAAAGTAATCACAACTCACCTTCAACCAACCACGTTCAAATATTTTTCTGTTCTCTATAAAATTAAATCCACATACAAAATTATTCTTAAAAAATGCAACACCAGTCTTCAAGAAAAGCAGAATCTATAGCAGTTAGGATTTCAGATGCCAAGGAATCATAAACAAGATCACATATATTCTGCTTTCACCAGTTTTTGTTTGAAAGCTAGCATATTTTAAAACAGCCATAGGAAATCCTACAAAGATGGATCATTTTCCTTCTGAACTATGTATGTACAATTCACACTGCTAAGCTCATTTGTTCTTCCCCAACTGCTAACATAAAGACATGCCCAGAAATAGGAACATTACTCGAAGCTGTCCCCACCACCTCTCTGTTGCTGTATCGCCAGCCCTGGGGGTGGGGATGAGGGACAAGAATAGACATACCCTGGCACGAGGAAGCTGCAAAGTAAAGCTACCCTCTAGAAACACTGTGTAAGATCAGTAAAAACCCTCTTCAGAGGTTCTGAAACCTTAAAAAAGAGCAGCTGATAATAACAAGTGATGTGAACAAAGTTTACAGCTTTTCAACTGTTCTTAGCAAGCTGCAGAGGCTCAAATTTGCTATCTATAAATGGTAGAACAAATTATGAAAACAAGCCAAAAAATCTTGACAATTTGACACTTCAAAACTTATGTCGGAGAGTTAAGAGAGATTACAACATGTATAACATAATGGGAAATCCCGTTCATGCTATATACGTATCTTTATTACTTCTCTCCCTGGCCTTCCACATAGACATAAACACCATGGCGGAACCGCATGTCAGTTTTTAAAAAAAGCTTCAAAGCCTGCGGCATTTCAGTGGAAGGGGCAGGCAGTAGAGCTCTGGACAGGCTCCGGTACCAGCTCTCCAACATGCTGGTACTTGTGCGACATAACGTTTCTGGGTCTCTATTTCCTCATCCGCAAAATGGGAATAACAGTACCCACTTAAGATTTTTTGTAAAGATTTAGAGATTGTTAAGGGCAAATTAACTTCACTCAGTAAATGCTGTTGCTACTGTTATCATAAGGAGCACTTATAAATCCAGCTAAACATTATCATGTACAAGGTTCTATGCCAGTTAATCACTGTGAGGGGAACGGAGAGGGAGGAGTTTTTAAAGAAGGAGAACCTGAAATCAGCCATCAACACTGAGCAGGAAAAAGGAGAGGGTGCAGCCTAATCGTGTCTTTCCCTATTAGCACGTGTGT